GAGTCTTTTCTTCAGTAGGGACAGTTCTGTTGTTATTAATTGTTGCAGGGGCACCTTAATGCGCTGCATACACTTTCAATTCTTTCTTGCACTTTACTTCGGGGATATTATGACCCAAACTAGCCTCATTTTGTCCACTCACACTTCCGAAAGTGAGTTACGACCGAAAAAAGCGCTCTATGTGGAGGTGTAAGTGCAAGCGAAGGCATTGAAAGCCAGAATTTTGCCCAAGTGAAATAGCTTTGACACTAAAATCGCGGAAGTACTACAATGTTTCACGCTTTTTTCTCCTTCGAAGGGGCTGGGTCAGTCGATTTGGGACGGCGCGCACTTTCTTCCTTATTAGGGCGAATTCACCGATACTTGCTAGTCACTTGCGGATAAACACACACTCGAGTGTCCGAGCAAGCTCGGGATTGTTCGCCCATTGCGCTTTCTCCCAGTTTCCTCCCCCCTCCTTCCCCTTTCCCAGAGCAAAACCTTTGCTGATGGGAGCTAATCGTCACCGTTTGCGTTCTTGCAGCAATCGCCTTGGAGTCGAACAATGAGAGAGCACTGCGCTGCGATTCTGCTTCACTTTTTCTTCATGATTCGGTGCGAAGAGGTTTAAGAGCAAAAAAGAGAAGTTCTCGCGGTCGTATTAGGTTTTTCTTCCGCCACTTCCTATTCACTCACAGTCCCCTCTCACAATTCACTTCCCGTGACAACTTACATCATGTTTTACACAACTTTTTCTACTCTCATATTTCATTTTATTTTTTTTCATGCATGAAGCGTTTTCTCTCAACAGGTCGTTGACGATTTCTTTGAGAAAATCATATTGGTTGGAACATAAGTTTCGAAGCAGTTAAGAAAATATCACCGCAACTTTTCCGAATTCTGTCCTCATTTATGAATTACGTGCAGATTGTAACTTTATGATAACATTTGTCAAATGTCAAAATTTTTTCCAATGATTTCTGACAAATTTTCAGCTTGCTTCATCGAAAGACCTAGCCCTCATTTCAGTACAAAGCTCATGTTAATTCTTCTTCATGTTTGCTAATTACGAAGCCTTATGTAAGTTTTCAAAGGTTTCTAGAGGAAGATGGAGAGAGTTCAAGATTTATGTTACAACCTAATATCCCTCATGGCAAATTTATTCAATGTCATTATGATAGTAGAATGATGCGTAAAAAGGATCTCACCAAATAGTATCACCTCTTACAGGAATCAGCAACAAGCTTGAATCATATAAGGAACTACATTTCTACTATTTCTCAAGTTTTCTCACTTCATTGTAAGTCATTTATACATGGAACTTTGCCTAGCGGTAACCTCAGCGAACATGTGAGTGTGAACCGGAAACGTTGTCATTTCTGTGCAAAAGCAAATTTTCGAGGCCTTTAAAGCTTGAATTTGTCTATATGAGGCACCACAGTTGGGTGGAAATACAGTTCTCATGTAGAATTAGTAGTTTTTCCTTTTACGTGTAGATTATCTTCATTCTGAAAACCGAAGTCTGAAAAAACTTCAAAAATTTAAATTTGGAAATCATCACTCCAAAGATTTCTCGAAAAATCCACCTGAATTACTTAACCGTCCTTGTCAAGAAATTAACACAAACAGAAATACATCTCATACTCTCCCCCACCAGTGGCGTACCGAGTTAGGGGGGCGCCCCCCACCCCCGAGAATGGGTCGCGAAATTTTTGAAAGTTACTTATATGGGTTATAAAAATGTGCAAGTAACTTGTTTTTGATTGTAAATGATTAAAATAATTTTTAAAAATTTTTAAAAATTCAATTAAGTTTTGTAAAAAAAATTTTTTCGGGGGCGCGGCTGACGCCACGCCCCCTTTTTCCAGATTTCAGGGGTTGGGAACCCGCAAAAATTTTTGGAAGCACCCTTAAAATTTTTTCGAAGTGCGTGGCTGACCCCGAGCGGAAATCCTGGGTACGCCACTGTCCCCCACTTATAGTCTTTGGAGAGGCAACGTATCTTCATGCATTCATATCATGTTCAAAATTGACCAGAACTGGTTGACCAAAATATAATAACTGAAGACAAATTCGGGAATCCACGAACTGAATGTCTTTTCCCAAATAACATTCTGTAAGAAAATGTGCGCAAGTGCTAATCATTCTAAATCAAACATTACCAAAAAATCTTAACACATTCACAACAATACGACCCACCGGTGGGTCCTACGTCTCTTGCCATTTCGAAAGATACGACCCACCGAAGGGTCGTATTCTTCCTGTAGTTCTTTGTTTTGGCAGTTTTCGATAAAACATTCGGGCAAACTGAATAAACTTTTGTTTACCACTTCGGATACTCAATATTGCAAAATATGCTCTGGTCCGAAATGGCAGTCATCGAAAAATCTGCCTTGTCGTGTTGGAGTTGTTTTCAGTCGGTAAACGGCTACAGCTGAACGCCACACTCGCCACAAGCATCTAACTAAAGCCACACTTCACATTTCATTGTTGAAATCCGTAATGTCTTTCAATTAAAAATTAGCTTGCACTCATAAAACGATTAGATTAGTCTAAGCCAGATCGGACTGGGCTTTTTGAAGAAAATTCTTTAGCCACGAATGATATTACCAACCGGCTGTCTTGGCGCCGGTCTGGATTTTTGCAAAAATTTACATTTGTACTAAGTGCATTCGCCGTAGGTTACTGACAATGATAATGACATTTTTTATCATTTTGCTAATTCGAGAAAACATTTCTTGGACCCAAACTAAACAGGTGTGTCAACAGTTACATAATTTGGCAAGTTTTTACATACTGTTTCTCCTATGTTTGATTTAGTTCTGTTGTTCTAAGTCCAACATATGGTATTCGTATTGAGTTGCTGCATTGATACTGCACCAAAAAAAATTTTTTTTGATTAAACAGTATCGCTGTGTCTACGCATTCGTTTGATTCAAAATAGCTAAAAAAGAAGTTAATGCATTTTACTAATGCCTGAATTATCCTTGGCTTGTTGACAAGCTGCACCCAAGTTTTACTTTTTTGAACTTTGGTCGTCTATAATTCTAATAGGCTCGAAAATGCATTTTTAGCTCCAATTATTCTGTGATGTAAGACTAGCAAAACACTGAATCTGAACTTGATCCTCTATTTTGTTCTTTTTCAGGCAACAAAATGTACCACCCGAAATTTTCGCCTTTCACGTGAAATTGTGGTTGTATTAGGTACAGCGTACAGCCTCTTAATTTTCTAGGTCTAATTCAACTTTTTGAGTATCTTTGATCTCCTCGAAGCAACACCCAAACCTGCGTCGGTGTGTAAGGCGCACCATGGCCTACATCCTCGTTTTTTATCTACTACCCATCTCGAACCCATTCAAGGTCCTTCTCCTCAAAGGCTATAATTGTTCTTGAAGTTTTGAAATTTTACGACAAGTTTCATGCGTTTCACATCCTTCAAAACCGCCGTAGATCACATCTGCCATGTATTCATCCGTGACAGGTACACCTACAATTAAAGTTTTGCTACGCACCTTGCGCAAGAGATTCCGACTGTCTCTGTACCGGAAAATCTTTCATAGTGAGACTAAGGATTTCCACATTTGATGAGTATTAGCACGACTGAAACAAATGTTTAAGTAAGCCATACTAGACTATGGAAAGACCGTTGTTTGCTCATTATATATCAAGCCAGCAGATTCCTACTAAACTTTTTATTACTATTTCTTATCTTCCACAGATTCGCATACCATTCTTCAAAAATTTTAGAACTGGTACAAAGATCCCGATGGATAAATAATGTTAGATCGAATCTATTTCTTCAAAGCTCTGCTGAACTTCTTGAGTGAATAAGTATCTTTATTTAACAAATCAGATTGGTCTGCATTCAGAGTGTAAATTCGAGATATCTAAAAACGAATGCGGAACATCCATCACACTAATTACATCTTTGTTCTTGGCCCCCTTATTTGTCTCATTTATCCCTGTGGTTTGCAGTAAAACACATATACATACGAGCTTGTGAGTAACTATGTTTACGAAGTTTGTGTCGAATAGGAATCTTTGTGAGTGAGCCAAAAAGTGCCAAATTTTGCAAACATACGTTTTAAACCCACTTTTTACGGCGGGTCGCTGGACCCTTCTATGGACTTATTGAATTCTTAGCTTAAATAGGGAAAATGGAAAGTTATCAAACATTATGAATAGTCATGTGAGGGCACGGTAAATTCCATCTGCATTTCGAGTAAAAAAATGCGGTTTTCCAGAGCGAAGTGGTGGCAAGAAAAACAAGTTTATCACAGAAGCGCTATTGTCGGGATTTGCAATAGGGGCAAGAAAAAGTAGAGGGAGTAAAAAGCTGAAGAAATTGAAGAAAGAAGAGGAAGGGTGAGCCTTTACTCGTTTCGGTCCATATAGTTATATGCGGAGCTGGATGAGTCGGTCCAAGCTGACTCGGGATAGCCAGCTAGTATGAGATAAGGAGAGAGTATGAAGGTTGGTATAGTACAGAACGACTGCTGATGTCAGAAGCTACCTCAAGAATATCGGCTACTACTTTCTTTTCTGAGATACGGGCGCAGGCGCTAGGCATTATGTTTTACTCAGTTTTCTTATTATCTGCAGCAATTCATTCTTTCAAAATATATTCTCTTTTATAAAATAAGCTGCTACCTTACTTTTTCTGAATGTCTGCAAATCACGCACAATCGCTTAGTCGAAACTTGCTTGTCACTTAAGATGATTAATATGTAAAAAACCATTTTGGTGTTAGCTTCTAGACATCAGTGTATGGCCTTTTTATGCGTGAGATAGCCTTTGAACATGCAAATCTCGTTCTTATTTTCGAGCTTTTCGGACAGCCACTTGAGCTGGTCCTCTTACTATGGGCAATTCAAGTCGCTTAAATGCATCCGTCTGCCGTCATTCCGTTAGCATCGCTTCGCTGCTGAACTCTGCAAGAACTGCTTATTTTCAGATCCAAATTCGTTATTGCTGCCTAGAACGGATCTCACTTCGAGGAGCTTCTAGCTCCATGAGCCGATGGACGATGATTTTCATGCTCAATACTACCATCAGTACGGACGCTATCCGTATGTTACCGTACCACCTCACAGGTAATGTGGTGACATGTGCTTTATACTATCCTTTGATTCAACGGGAATGACGGCTGAGGCGAGGCTTCGGGACCTAATCAAGGCTAGGGAAATGATCAGAGAGCACGCTCGCGAGACGTAGACTGCGTCGCGAGTGCGGGCGGTCGCCTTCCAGCAGCCAGTCCCCTTTGAATCAAGGGGTACATTTTCATTTCATTTATTCATAGGCATAACCCTATGTTTCAACAGCACGAACTATAAAACACGAACAAAAAACCACAACAACAACACATAAATATCAAAGATCACCTCAACTCAATGGAAGATCAGAGTTAATGGCACAATAACTCGTAAATTGTAAGATCATGTGAAAGAACAAGTAGATCAGAATTAGCTACCATTGGACTGCAGATACCTGAGAACAGCCTTAAACTGGGATAACTTTGCAGGAAACAAATGCCGTCTCAAAAGCCTATCAATGTACATCGTCTCATTTCCGCAAAAATTCAAATCATTTGCATCTCAATATGTGAGTCTGTACACTGCGCTCTGCAATAACCACTTCCTCACTAGATCACCTTATAAAATCTTTTCTAGCGTAATTATACATATGTAGTCAAAGAGAAGAGAAAAAGGCAGCCGGGAGAAATCGAAATGAACAAGTTGTAGTCTTACAAGTCATCGTCAAGTAGCGCCGAGGTGCAATATGCTTTCACAAGCTCCCACTATTTTTCTTTACCACAAGAGCCCACACAAAAATTGGAAAAACCCTCTCAGGTCCTCCTTGCTAATCATTTTTGTTTTGAGAGTCTCTTCACCGATCATTTAGCGGAACTATTATTATTTCCATCTTATTGTTAGCATCGAAAGCAATGTAGTGGGTTCCTAGATGAAAACTAATTGGAGTCCGTTTAAGCTATTATTCAAGCGGTAGCTCATATGATTTATTCTGGCCGAGAAATTCATCCTCAAACCCTTGCCCAGTACCGTATTCTTCGCTATCCCATCAGCGCGAGTACGCTGCTGGGCAAACGTCTGGACTCAGGTCTATCAAACGGTATGCACATAAGAAATGCAGATCTGGACCCTGCCTCCAAGGTGTTTGGGAAGTTGATATGGCACTGATCTGAAATCAGATTATCTGTGTATTCAGTGAATACGTAGCTATCAGTGGCGGACCGAAAGGGGAGAGGGTGGGGAGGTGGGGGGGGGGGGGGGAGAATGGGTCGCAAGATCTTGAAATTTACTTACATGGGTTATAAAAATGTGCAAGTGACTTGTTTATTCATGTAAACAATTAAAATAATTTTTAATTTTTAAAAATTCAATTAGCCTCATTTTTTCGGGGGCGTTACTGCCGCCACGCCCTCTTTTTCTAGATTTTAAAAAATATGCAGAAATTTTGAGAGTCACCCCAAAAAATTTTTCGGAGTGCGTGGCTAACGCCACGCATCCGCATTTGAAAATTTTTTTTGTCGCGCCTTCCCCTTCCCTCCCCCCCCCCTCCGGACGGAAATCGTGCGACCCCCTTGGTAGCTATAGAGCGTTGTGCATGACAAGCTACTTTAAGCATGTGATAATTTATCGTCTTTATCAAAAATTTCATCGTGTTCATCAAACAAGATTTGAATCCACTACTTTGAAGCGAGTGCTTTGCTCGAACTTCATTGTTCACGAACTATCATCGGATTATGAAATCTCCATCTTTGTAGAGCTGCTTATGTAATCCCAAGGAGGCACTTGGACGATGACTATTCCGATTACTACCGCGACTATAAAACGCAGTCGAGGGACTATGATCGTCGTTTGAAAACCTATCAAAATGCCATTTACTACATTCGAGTGATGGCATATATACAGGTATGAAGGAGCTCTTCAGTTCCGCTTATGATTTGTCGTTTTTAGATCTTCATAGCCGGAGTGCTGCTTGTGTCTGACGTCTCGAGAATAGTGTTGCTGTGGACATTTGTGCAGTCTATAGGGACCATCATAGAAATGGTACGCAACATTGCTATCTTTTCTCTATAACCTTTTTCGTCTTTCAGATTTGCCAGCTATCTTTTCCCCTTTTTACTCTCATACTGGGATTTCTTTCTCTAACAACTGCTCTTTCACCATCAAGCGTACTTTCAAAGTCTGTTGCCATTTTGCTCGTAGCCACGGTCATCCCAAACTTTGTATTTCCCAAACAAGCAGCTTTTATTACCTGTGAGTCGAGAGAAGAGCCTATCGAAAACTTTATTGCTGAACAGTTCATATTTATAGCAGCAGTTGATGCAGTAGAAGTAGCTCGAGCATCCGATCGAACCTCGCTGAAGCAAGTGAGTAATCTACTTTCATTTTCAATGTCCTTATAGGTGAGACGATTGCACCGTTTTCTTCATTTTTTTTTGATCGCAGTCATGGTAAACAATTCAATGACAAAAGCTCGCAAAGAAATGATGATTCGAATACAGTGTTGGAAAAAATATTAGTCGTCAGTAGATTTCCCAAGTACAAAGTCTTGTTCATTGATTTTATAAGTTTTTGAAAGATTAGATTTTTTTTGGAACCATACAATTTCTGCGAAACTGCAAGAGCAAGGGCTTTTTGCGCATCAGTTAAGAGCACTTGAGGAGCTCTTATGGATTTGAATTTTGTACTAGTATTTTTTTTTCATCTTTACCCTTCAAAGCAATGCTTGAGCTGCCCTTCTTACTTCAGTTTTTTCCGCGCTTTAAAATCACGTCAGATTTTCGGAGACCATTTGAAGGAGCCCTCACGAGCTTCTGTTCGGAAGCTTATGTTGATCCACAAATATGCCACAACCGATCGACTCTTACCATCGTTTCTAGGTTACCGTTGACATGAGCATGGGTATGATCCGTTCGGAAACACATCACAAGCTGTTACGACTGCTCTCATCCATGGGCTCCCGATGGCCATTAGGCATTCAGGTAAAAACGGCGATACAAACTTTTCCACAGGGGCGGCATTTGGAAACCTTAGAAAATTTTGCATTTTGTTTCTCAGATTCGTCGCAAGTTTACAATTCTAAAATTTAGGAAAATAGCGGCGTAGAAACTTTTTCCGCGGCTGATTCAACTTGGAAAAAAATTTATAAGCTTATTTCGGTCATTGACAAACGAGGCTGTCTACCATAATTACCGAAACCAATATATGGATTATGTGTTGAATGGAACTGAGCCTTCTCTGCAAAACTGCTTTTTTTACAAAAAAAAAGTTTCTTTAGGATCTCAGCTTGTTGCCTGCCGACTTCCTACTTCTACTGCAGTATCTGCTCGTCTCCTATGCGATGTTCTCGTTTCTACAACTAGTCGTTCAAGTGGCGACCGTCTATTTTCTCGTCAGACTCCTCACAGTTCAATAGAGCTTTCCTTAGATCCCGTCTTGACCCGAATAAGAAAGTGCTTTGAAAGAAGATTAAGAGCTATGTTGAAGCTGAACCATTACAAGTGAATACTATGAATATTCTATTGCTCTCCAATAATCACAGATCTCATTATTTAGCAAAACCGATTGCATAGGGAAATTGATAATCATCTTTTCTGAGAACATTTGAAGACTATTGACAGCGTTTTGAAACCGAAATCTGCAAACTCGACAAAATTTCTTCTTGATGAAATCGAAAACATTTTGATTACTGATTAGAGTCGTGATAAACACACGTCAAACCAGTATGGCTCTATCACGAAAGCGAACGAGTTTTTTCGCTAGGTTGAAGCGGTAGAACGTCTTTTGATAAAAAAATAATTTTGCTAGTAAGCCGAGAGAGATTCCTAGCAGAGTTGCGATCAACTGCTTGATGAATTGTAAGAACTTTTCGTTAGAAATCTCGTTCGCAAGAGGATATATAGTAAATGAGAATGTGGAATTTTTTCTTTCGTTATTTGGTTTTCATTACTCATGGTCCAAGCAGAATGCGTTTTCTTTTCCTTTTCCGTCCCGTGAGGTTCTATTTATTGCATAATCTAGAGTAAGAAGTTTTTAATATTATCATCTATTGCTTATCACTAAACTGCGTTCTATCTTGTCCCAAGGAGCTTACTTGAATCTTCACTTAACTTTCTGATTAACAGTGTCTTATTACAATACCACCCGTAATTTGTGAAAAAAAATGGCGGCGGCACTTAACTTACGCGGCGCCGCCGAAGTTAGGTGACTTTTGCCGCGTCGCGCGACAAAAGTCGGCGGAAAAGCGGCAAAAGTCACCTAACTTTGTCGCGCAACGCCGCGCAACGCCTAACTTCTTTATAGAAAAGACCTTATCTTGATCCAAAATTTATGAATTCTATATATAAGAGTACCATTCAACTCAGCTCGACGAGGCGCATCTTCCAATATACGGATGTGCATAGTTGTGGGATATAAGTTTCTTTCCTGGAATTTTAGTGTAAATGGACCATTCAGTGTGCTTATTCCAGAGGCTACGTACACATTCTATTCAGCACAGCAGAAATAGGGCAGGTATAGTTTAAGAGCTCATTCTGCATGGATATATGTGAAACTGGGCAGCTCATTCTGCATGGATATGTGTGAAAGTGGGCTTTTCTCGGCGAAGTATGACGGGTCCCAAAATGCAGGAAGACAAAGGGAAATGGTTGGAAATCGCATGAGAAGCACATATCGCGGAATGCCGCGCGTGCTGTGCAATGTACAATACCACTCACAGAACGGGAATTGCGCGAAATTCCAGAAATTTCGCGATTCCGGATTATCGCAAATTATGCAGCGCCATAACTTCCTTCGGAATTAATATATTCTAAATTCGAAAGCAGCACTGTGTTCATCTCGTCAAGGCGAATCTTTCTACATACGTCATGTCATCTATATCTTGTTTTCAGTTTTCTCAAATTGTTATGAGGAGGTCCCTTTGCAAGTATGTAACGCAGCGCCTATCCAACTTGAAAGCTTCCAGTAAGCACCTTTCGATAGTGCTCTTCTTGTGCATTATAGTGCGCTAGTAAGCTGCCGCAGACTTCTTTTCAAAAGAGAAAAAAGCGTTGGTAAATTCTGGAAAAATCACTCGTTTCCAGATTCTACTCGCCGTAACTTTCTTTGGAGTGGATATTTTCTGAATCCGAAAAATGCATTGTGCTCAGCTCATCAAGGCAAATCTTTCGGTATGCAGAATGTCCTTGATATCTCGATTTCAGTATTCTCAAAACTTTCTGCGGACGTTTCTTCGCAAAGGTGTGATGCAGCGCGTATTGCCCCCAGTACATTCAGAAAGAAATTTTCGATAGTACTTCTTTTGTAGATTATGGAGCGCTAGAAAGTAGCCGCACACTCCTTTTCAAAGGAGTTAGAAGGGCTGGTGAATTCTGGAAAAATCATGTCCTTCTAAATTTTTCTCAACGTAACTCTAACATATGAAGCTCTCTTGCTAAGCAGATGTGATTTTCGTAACCAGCAGGTCGGATAACCCTTAAGTGCAAGTTTTCCAAGATGTTCAAGTAATTTCATTTTTTCTCGTTTTACGCTCTGAAGCTGGCCGATGGATTTTGGTCAAAATGTTCATGCTCTTAAATTGTAAGGAAACTTCGCTTATAGAGGTTTTCGAACACGCTCTTTACGAAAATCGTGGTCTTTGAGGATTACAGGGTCTTTTTGGTGAGATACGGTGAGGTGACTGTAACTGCATCACGAAAGTGCGTAAATTGGCCCGCACTTCTCGCGTATCTGTCAGCAACCTTGCCTGCTTGCTTTTCTCAGTCAAAGTTACTAGGAACTGCGCTACCGAATGGTGCATGAATCAGGCTCCAGTCTATAAAAATCACCGAGTTATGAGCCTATGAAAACACGTCCTCATGAATTTTGCCCAAAATCTAAAGATAGCAAATCTCGTCGAAATTCCACCGTGAGCGCTTGTATGACACTCGCATTGCGGATATTGTGTTCGCTTCGCCCAAAAACTCCCACTGTATTGAATATGGTACTTGCATATGCTTCAGCTGCTCAGTTGAATATCAGAGCTATTTCAGTGGCTAGAACTCAAACTACTAAATCTAACACAATAAGACCCATTAAGGACGCGAAAGATTTTGATCAGCGTGTTGTACAAGCGCTCACGGTGGAATTTCGACGAGATTTGCTATCTTTAGATTTTGGGCAAAATTCATGAGGACGTGTTTTCATAGGCTCATAACTCGGTGATTTTTATAGACTGGAGCCTGATTCATGCACTATTCGGTAGCGCAGTTCCTAGTAACTTTGACTGAGAAAAGCAAGCAGGCAAGGTTGCTGACAGATACGCGAGAAGTGCGGGCCAATTTACGCACTTTCGTGATGCAGTTACAGTCACCTCACCGTATCTCACCAAAAAGACCCTGTAATCCTCAAGGACCACGATTTTCGTAAAGAGCGTGTTCGAAAACCTCTATAAGCGAAGTTTCCTTACAATTTAAGAGCATGAACATTTTGACCAAAATCCATCGGCCAGCTTCAGAGCGTAAAACGAGAAAAAATGAAATTACTTGAACATCTTGGAAAACATGCTCATAAGGGTTATCCGACCTGCTGGTTACGAAAATCACATCTGCTTAGCAAGAGAGCTTCATATTTTAGAGTTACGTTGAGAAAAATTTAGAAGGACATGATTTTTCCAGAATTCACCAGCCCTTCTAACTCCTTTGAAAAGGAGTACGCGGCTACTTTCCAGCGCTCCATAATCTACAAAAGAAGTACTATCGAAAATTTCTTTCTGAATGTACTGGGGGCAATACGCGCTGCTTCACACCTTTGCGAAGAAACGTCCGCAGAAAGTTTTGAGAATACTGAAATCGAGATATCAAGGACATTCTGCATACCGAAAGATTTGCCTTGATGAGCTGAGCACAATGCATTTTTCGGATTCAGAAAATATCCACTCCAAAGAAAGTTACGGCAAGTAGAATCTGGAAACGAGTGATTTTTCCAGAATTTACCAACGCTTTTTTCTCTTTTGAAAAGAAGTCTGCGGCAGCTTACTAGCGCACTATAATGCACAAGAAGAGCACTATCGAATGGTGCTTACTGGAAGCTTTCAAGTTGGATAGGCGCTGCGTTACATACTTGCAAAGGGACCTCCTCAGAACAATTTGAGAAAACTGAAAACAAGATATAGATGACATGATGTACGTAGAAAGATTCGCCTTCACGAGATGAACACAGTGCTGCTTTCGAATTTAGAATATATTAATTCCGAAGGAAGTTATGGCGCTGCATAATTTGCGATAATCCGGAATCGCGAAATTTCTGGAATTTCGCGCAATTCCCGTTCTGTGAGTGGTATTGTACATTGCACAGCACGCGCGGCATTCCGCGATATGTGCTTCTCATGCGATTTCCAACCATTTCCCTTTGTCTTCCTGCATTTTGGGACCCGTCATACTTCGCCGAGAGAAGCCCACTTTCACACATATCCATGCAGAATGAGCTGCCCAGTTTCCCATATATCCATACAGAATGAGCTCTTAAACTATACCTGCCCTATTTCTGCTGTGCTCAATAGAATGTGTACGTAGCCTCTGGAATAAGCACACTGAATGGTCCATTTACACTAAAATTCCAGGAAAGAAACTTATATCCCACAACTAGGCACATCCGTAAATTGGAAGATGCGCCTCGCCGAGCTGAGTTGAATGGTACTCTTAGATATAGAATTCATAAATTTTGAATCAAGATAAGGTCTTTTTTTATAAAAAGTTAGGCGTTGCGCGACAAAGTTAGGTGACTTTGGCCGCTTTTCCGCCGACTTTTGCCGCGCGACGCGGCAAAAGTCACCTAACTTCGGCGGCGCCGCGTAAGTTAAGTGCCGCCGCCATTTTTTTTCACAAATTACGGGTGGTATTGTACATATCTATGTATTTGTGATTGACATCGACTTCGCTCATCCACAATGAAAGTGCCAATGTCGTTTATTATAAATATCTCTGTGATCTATTTATAAAGAATTTCCATTTCATGTATACTCCGATGCTTTGTTCATCTATCTTTATGTATATCTTTACAGAGTTTTCGATTTTCAAAATTAGAGTTTGGGCTCTCCAGCAACAACTCCAGATTCGATGCCACACTCGTTCAATCCGCGGACGATACGGAAGAAACCTGAAGCATAGGCTTAGCTTTTCAGTATTTATTGAAATTCTCTAGTTACCGTTCTCTCCCCAGTCGGAGTTCCATGAGTTGGCACAGATCCAGTATGGTGTGCCATTCTCAACTCCCCATCCGATCATCTTAACTGCATGACCACCAAGTTCTTTGCCAGCGGTGTGCTGTAGATAAATAATTTTTTTACGAAAAAATGCCATCAAATTAGAGTTGAAAAAAAAATTCCTATATATGGTGTCAATCATGTTCTACTTACCACGTAGATACCACCAGTGTAGTGCTCGAAGTCTTCGTATACAGTGTACGAGACCTCAACTGGTCCATTGGTCATGATTTCTTTTTGGATATCTGCGACCTTTTTCGAAACGGCATAAGCGGTGGATCCTAAACACCGTTTCGCTTATCTTTGCGCCAATTCATGACTTCCCTGAATCCGTGACAACCACCGCACCCATTTTTTATCTAATCTCTTTCAGCTGCGCCTAACAAAGGCCCAATATGGTTTGTGACTTACCGAAATGCTTATCGTTGGTGTAGCTGACTGGATAACCAGCTTGGCATGTATGCTCACACTTGTTCGTGGGGTAGATGTCGGCAGGACAGGGCTAAATTTTCTTTGGTTACTTTTTTTATTGGAATAGCACCACAAGGGGTCCACAAAACATACCTGGAAGCGAGTGGCGTTGTCATGATGCTCACATGGGGCGAATGGATATGGTTTGCAGCCAGCCTTGAACAAACAATCTTTTTAGGAAAACGATTTGATGGAAGACATTGGCTTCATTTCAATACATACAAGATTTTCATAAGGGTGATTTCGTTGTCTAATAATTATTCAAAACCGATTTCTCAAAGAAATTATGCTAATGACACTGAAGTTTTCTGGAAAAAAAGCTATTCACCTTCATGGTGTAGTTACTGCCAGTTACGATTCCGGTTCTGACCCAGTACTTCCAAGCCTGGAGAGGATAGCCACCTTCGCATCTATAAGAATATCATAACTTTAGTAGCGTACTAATGATCTTCGATTTTTAGGTGTCACTGAACCATAACTGATTTTTCATTCTTTGCATATCGATTCAAATTTTTTGAATGAAATTGGTGCTATTTTTAATTCGGGAAAAATGAAAGTTCCATAGACTTAAAGTTTACCCATTTCCACAGATCATTCCACAGCAGGAAAGAATATCATCAGCAGAGATGGTGACTTGCTGTTTTCCCTTCGAAGCGATGCAGATGCGATCGGTCATGGCTTCGGCAGCACCAAATGCCCAGCAAGATCCTAAAAATTCTGGTTAGTCTTTGGAACCAAATACAGCCAGGAGAGCCCTACCACAGGACGATTGGTCGCGGATCGAGAGAAGCGATGGGCATTGGGGCCACTGCTTCCGAGCGTCGAAAGAGTCTGGGATGGTGGCATCGTCGATGTCGTCGTGTGTTTTCTCATTCACTCTGTCTTCAGCTGGGATCTCTACGTGCTTCACTCCCATCAAACGGCTCTTGATAGCATCAGGGTACTGCGCAAAGCGGGGAGAAAGGCTGACCTGGAATAAAGAGCCTTGGCTCAGTCTGAGTTACAGTCAAGAAAGCTTACGGTAAAGAGTTTTTGAACGTTGTTCACATATTCGACCAGCTCAGGTCCGCTAAGATTTTCCGCTTCTCTCAGAACCCGTTCTGAAAGCGAAATATAAATTGATCACATACGACGTTTCCCATTAGTCGGCAAAAGTCCGACAGCAAAAGTTCTATGTAAACTACAACCGTCTTAAAAACTCATCATGAATTCAAAATTCTGAATCACTTTGATTTCGCAAAAAATACTAATCTCCTAACTTTTTGTCCTACATCTCAAAAATTGTCCACCATTGGCGCTGAATCTGAGTGAACGTCTTAACGCAGTCTATACATAATAACCATAGAAAATATTGCTAAAGTTATAATCAACTTTGCAATGCTATTATTCCGGTATTATGCTAGGTTTTTGTGATATTATCAGGTTAATTTTAAATCTGAGCGAATATTGCTTGGGATCATTTTTCTAAATCCGATCCTTTTAGGTTTATTGGCTTAGGTTGAGCGTTTTTCTCTGCTACGACTATTGCCAATGCTCTCGGATTTGTAGGCGCATTTGATGTGCAATAAATGGATAAATATTGATAAATTTCTGACTTACTTGATGCGGGAATGTAGGTTGCCGAAGCGACAGCCAAGACAAAGGCAATGAGCACGACGAACTTCTGGAAAAATTGTTTTCTCGTTTTTTTTTTCTAAAGAATTTTGTGAAGAAGAACTTCTCTAATAAGAACTCACCATGGCTGACGTAGCGCACAAAGAAAAGAGCACATGCTTAGCCTTTTGTACGGGAGCTTATCTCTCCGAAGATATATTGTATGATAGGTAGCCAGCTTCTTGCGTCAGTAAAACATTGTTTGCTGATATGGCATCTTTTCGGCGCACATTATCAAACTGATAAGGTAAGCACTGGATTGCTTCAAGCTTTTCTGCTAGAAGTTAGCTTTACATCATACTCGAAACACACACTGTAATTCGTGATTAAATGTGCAAAAACTATCGACTAGAATAAGAAATTATTGAGAGTTTCAGATGCTGAAAGTTTTGATATTACTTTGAAAAAGTACACGTTATCGAATTCATCTTTCCTAAACCATACTCTTACGACATTTCCCTGCCGAATCAAGAAGGACCAACGTAAGTAAGAACAAACATACATATGAACCAGTGGCGGTCTTAGGATTTCGGACTGGGGGGGTGGGGGGGGGGGGGGGGGGTGAGGCGCGGCAAAAAAAATTTTCAAGTGAAGGTGCGTGGCGTTAGCCACGCGCTCCAAAAAATTTTTTGGGGTGCTTTACAAAATTTTTGCGGGTCCGTAACCCCTAAAATCTTGAAAAAAAATTTTCTTTTACAAGGCTAATTTCCCTTCCTTTGCTAAATGTTATGAGATCCTTTGTAAGGAGCGTCGATTATTATTAGCAAGGTGTACTAGAAACAATCTTCAGTTACTTACCTCTCTGGATTGTTTTCTGGAACAGAAGAAATCCTCCAGCAAGAGGGCTTGCCAATCTTCTTCATCGCGTGAGAATATCTCGAGAAAGGCCGCAAACAATTTGTAATGTAGGCTTGTAATGGGCAGCACATTCCAATATCTGCTAATCTATTATAGCTCTTTCACAATTTCAAGACTAGAATTCTTTGTGGTCACGAATTATATGATAACAATATAAGACATGGAGAATGAATTACGTCTACCTGTTCGTTTATGTTTGCGTTACACATCTCGAGCTAGGAGTTCCTACACGAGAGGCTGCGCTGATCACGCAATTATAATGTTTTCAAAGTGGCTGCTCAACCTCAACAAAAAAAACGTATTTCCTAAAATCTGTGAAGTGCGTTAACTGCTCCATTCCCAAAATTTTTTCCAAACATATAAATTATTTTTATAACATATAAATTCTACTACCCCAAAAGTTTTTTAATCGGATAACACAGGGTGTCCCAAAAAGATGTTCATACTGTTTCATCATTATCAACTTCTTGTTTTCATGTCTCCGAGTTTGAGTTACCATCATGTACAGGTTCAACTTAGACTTACAGTGTGAAGCAAACTATTAATCCTTCTTCATTTGTAGGATTACGGTTTGAACTTTCAGCATGCAGCGTCACAGTGGGTAAGGCCTCTTAAAGAAGAAAATTCCAAAAAATCTGGAAATTCGTAGCAAGGTCTTCGGCGTGCTATTTCAACTACACAACTTTTTATCAGTTTCGAGCTTTTTAACGGTGTCACATTTTTGACGAACATTGAAAAACACTTGTTATTTCAAACCTGAAATAATTTACAAAAGAAGCATTACAGTGAAGTGCAAATTTGTTTCAGCGAGTTCGACTAGTCTTTTTGTTTCCGGCTTGTTTGGTTTTCTTTCTGAAGCAAAAATCGCTTTCAATTTCCGAAAATCCCTCTCGAAGTTCCTACCAAAAAATCCTTCTCTAAGTTCCTATCTTGCCCTTCATTACTAATCCCCGGTAATGAAGAGCGATGATGTTTCGCTCCATACTGTAGATTTAAGTTTAACCTCGTCCTACAGAATGGTGCCTCAAGCTTGGCGAAAAGACATGAAAGCAAGAGAGTTATCAACGACGAAACAGTATATCTTTACAAACACTCTGTATAAATTCGTAAATAGTGTCAAAAATTTAGTTATTGACATTTTAAACAGTTACTTACGTGACCAATAGATCACACAGCCCATTTTCAGAAATGAAACCTTGTTTTTCAATATACGTACTTCTTCTCCCTACCTACACATGATAATGGTTATCTCGATGGAAATCCCCGCATTTGAATTCTCCTCCACCAAGTGGGTCCTCACAGGAAGTCCAAAACTAATTCAGGAAGATTTTCATCAACGGTTATTTCATTCGTGGTCTCCGTATTTGATTATCGCCATACCCGCTCCATCACGTTTGAGAACCCTCACAGAAGAAATCTAAAGCATGATAAGCTGATAACAGCAGCCACCATTTCACCAAAGGACCTATGGTCGAGTCATTTGTAACTTAATATGCTCAGTGCACACTACACACGCTAACTGACGAACTGCGAAACTAGAACCTGCTCATTTCCAGTGATTTCTCCTTGTTTCCTGGTTTATTTTGTTTTAGTTGATTATATGATAGTCATTAGAACACATTTCTATATTTGTTGGGCTAGAAAATGTTTTACTGGGAAGTTACTAGCATGAGTGCCGTCGCTATTAGGGCTTAGTGTGCAATCTCACATATTAAGTTACAAATGACTCGAGACTAGAAGGACAATGGTGGTAGACGACCATACGTCGCCAAAATGGGTGGTTCCTCGCGAACACCTGTGACAGAAGGCACATGACTGATAAATCATGTGTTTCCATAACTTACTACTTGTATTTGTGCGTTGAAATTCAGGTTTAAGCGCCATAAACGACCACCCAAAATTTCGGCAAAGATTTTCATTGAAGACATCTAGTTTGTAGACAGCAATTTGCTTACTTATGGTAGATTCGAGCAAAAATTGAGTTGCATCCGTGCAATCATGCACCCCAAAGAGGCTAGGGCACAATTTGCATAGACGTCAATAAGCACATCGCTGAATCACAGGGTTAGCGAACTTGGAGGAGCACTTGTAAACGCCAATTTTACCCCGGTGCATTCGCGAGCCGTAGCCCATTGGGTTCGCGAACCCAAAGAAGCGGAATCCGAGTTCGTTTATGAATATAGCCACAGAGTCGCCTGTATGTTCAGTGCTCTAAAGGACGGAGACAGGAGATTGTGGGGCATCCTTGGTCAGCTCACATTCTCGCGAAGTACGCGGCTCTGTGTACTATCGATATGTGCGAAATATATGCTTTTTTCCCTTTCTCTTTGTAGAATTTTTAGCAGATGACAGAGAGTGGCAAGGATGCATTTTTTCTGTTGCAAACTTCTGCGGCAACGAATGTTTTGTCTTCGCCATTGATAAGGCGATTTATATGCGTCCGCTTTCACTGCATCTTAGCAAGATGTATTCACCCTGAGGTGCAAGCGGCATCGCAGCGTCGTGTGCCTGTCCTATGATGCTAAGTTTGGGATGTGCACACTGCAGCCTCAAGTGGTTGACAAAGAAAGTCGAGCTTCAACCATATCAATTGCAGTTATTTAGTCCTCACTGTAGTAAATGAAATGCAGCAAAAGATTGTTTATCATAATAAAACGAATGCATGAAACCGCAGTCACTCCTAGTTGAATATATACGTCCTTGGCCACTGGTGTGCATCGAGAAGCTACGGAGTTGGTCGCATTTCAAAGATCTTTGTACGGACTGTGATTGAAGCGACTTTGTTTGATGAGAATCATGGACATTGAAGAGCGAGATCCAGAAATAACCTATCTCAACCTGCATTCGGAGGCTACACAAGTAAGCTTAGTCGTACGTGATGAGTAAAGTCTTTGTTTGCTTTAAGGATGATATATCGTCTTCCGATAGCTCCATAAAATCACTCCCACATGGACAGGTGCATAACATTCTCACATCTGAGCTACCTCAATGTCTACTTAAGGCGCACGTCGGAAAAGAGCCTCTACCGGGTCAACGCTTGGAAAAAAATAAGCTTCTTACAGTGGAACATGCTCAGGTATGCAGAGAGTATCAATTGTCACTTTTCAACGCTTTTTTTCAAGAATGATGTCGCAGTATCAGAGCTTAAGAAACCCGTTCACATACCGGGATGCTTTCCTCAATTTAGTGCCACATCTTTGAGCTCATGGGATGATATCTCTTCAGCAAACAAGACTCGCATGAGAAATTATAAAGTGAAAAATGGTACTAAGGTATGCAGTCTCGAAAATCTTACGCTTTGTCTCATATTTTTGATACAGGATTTGCTCAACAGTGTAGCTAATGCTCCACTGCTAGGACGCCCCAAGCGAAGCAAAGAGACTCATTTAACGATGAAGTTAAAGCTTGACCCTGCACCAGCGATGCAACCATCTGCTAAAAAAAGAAATGAAACAAAGTCCTTAAATCAAGTTGAAATATCACGGATACAACCATCGCTGACTCATGAGCATAAAAAAGCTGAAGAGGTTGATACTTTCTCTTTGCGAATAGAGCAGTTGCTTATCAATGTGTGCTGTAGAGGAAACGACCAGTTTTTATACAGAAAACACTATACGAAACGGAAAATGACAAAAAAGCGGTATGTAGAAAAGTACGCAAAGCTTCACAGCCTCAACATAAACTATTCAGAGCAGTGAAGAAGAGGCCGAGCAAACTGCAGAGTGGGTGCGTTGCATCTACATAGTTTTTTTTTTCACATTCTCTGCGTTTCTGTATTCGTTTAAGCCATCTCCAAAAGTTCCGTTGGCATTCGCGATAATGGCCGGAGAAGTTTCGGTGGAACTTCCAGATGTAAGAAGCCCTTCCATATGCTCGAAATATTCAATTCCTTTTTTGCAGCCCGATGAAAATAATAATGTAAAAGCAGTACTCACAGATTCAGAGTCAGATTCGGATTCGGATTCGGACTCTGACTGATCTACAGATAACAATGATATAAGATTAGTGAAGCAGCAACTAATGTTAAATTTGAATAATGCATGCAAGAATATTGCGACCTGAGTTACAATTAATATTAATACGTATGAACATCACGTGTTATCCATAATAAACGTTACAAAAGTATCTTAATTTCATTTTACGCTCGCGGTGGTGTGCCGTTGCTGCAACAAGAAAAGGTTTTCCAGTTCCTTCTAAAAAGTCATTTATTTTTCATTTTTTCCAACTTTTAAGTCAATTCTACTGAACCTTTGCATAAAGAATTGCAAGCATGCGAATAATTCATGTGGATTACTGTTCCGGCAACGACTAACAAGAGAACCCTTTTTAGTCAAAGTGGCCTTTCCACGTAGTACCTGTACCACTGGATGCATCTTTGAATGTTGATTAGAATTCAACTCTTTCCTTCTCTGTGGAAAACTCTCCGAAAAAAATTATGAGTTTTTGAAAGTTCAAAATTGTAATGCAGTAGGTAGCAATTAGCGAAAAGCTCTACAAAATCAGCAAAGTAGGTCATCAAATTTATATCAAGTATCTATTCACTTACAAGGGATCATAAACATTTTTGTACTTCTTTTCGCTAAATTCATGCCACTTACGGCTTAACAATTTAGACTATTGAACACTTAGAACTTCTATCGGAGTTGTTCCGCAGAAAAGGAAGATCAATTTGGAATCACCGTTTTCAACGCCCTACAGCGAGACGTTATGGGGAATCGTTACTTCCATTTGAAAGACTTTCCTTGCTAACGTGCTTGTTTCGCAGTCTCGCAGGAAAAAATAAAAATGTTTTAGAGTAACATAGTACTTGTTATAGTTTGTGTTGTTGTTGTCTAGAGATCTCTTGGATCTACTGGTGTTGTATTGACCTATGCGCGGGAACTAAGCGTTGTATAAGGTCCCTTTTAGCTAGGTTATTCGTCTCTCTTATCGCCTGTTCTTATTCATATCCCCACTAACACATCTACTACTTTACAAGTGTCCCGGACCGACCACAAGTACAAGTAGTACAAGTACAAGGCAACAACAAAAACAAAAAAACATCAATATTGGACCCCTCAGATGAACTGTTGGGCAGTGGATGGCAACTGCAATAATGAGCACGTGTCTCCTCAATACTACTCTAAACGATTTCTCTCTGAAATTGAGGCAAACATATAGTCTGCTTTGATCGAGATTCCATATCTGCTAATCTGAACCATATCTGTTTGACAGATTTTACAAGACTGAGTCCTCTCGTTCATTCTTACGTGTACGTTTAACATCCGCTGGTTTAAGACTAGCTGGCATTGTATTTTGCTGTTTCTTTTTCTTTTGTGTTACACCTTGAGTGTATAAGTAAAATAAAGTAAAGTAAAGTGAACATGATGCTATTCAAAGCGCTTCCTCTCCTCTCTATCGAGACATGATGCGTCTCTGCTAGTTTTGTCATTTATTCTGTTTTGAAATGATTACTTGAATAGCTGCGGTGTTTATGGTGTAAAATTCAACCTTCATTATCACTCTAATTATAGTAGAGTTCTTAGATATGAAGTCATGTACTGCAAAAGTCACAAAGTGCAAACAGTTTTCCATTTCTCAAATCCCTTTTCCTTGATTGTAATCGGTATCCAACGGTGACCTTTTCTGCTTAATCTGATGAAGTGGCGTTCCCCTGCTTTTTTCTGAAATGGTTCCCAAGTAGGAATTAACAATGCTGCTTAATTGTTAGTGCCGTTGTAATCTATATATATATATAAAACTCAAAAAATGTCAGTTTGGAGGGTATGTGCGTTATAGAAACGCGCGCACTCAACCGATTCAGCTGAAACTTTGTACACATATGTTTTCGAGTTGCGCAGATGATAGGCTACTTTTTGCGGCGATTCGTTGGGTCCTTCTATCGATTTATTGATTTGTTTACATTTTCCTAAGGAATTGAAGGGTTATCATGTTCAATCAAGCATTTTCCATACTCATGTAAAAGAGGGCGGCGAAGCTCATTTTCACCTCAGGATCACGAGGATGCGGTTTCTAAGCGGATGTCCCAGGGTAAGTCATCCATACCATATAGGGCGGGGGGGGGGGGGGAGGGGCTCGCAGTGCGGTGAACGATGGCCCGGGCTGGACCAGGAAAGCTAACTAGTGTCGTATAAAAGATGTCGCCTCTTAAGTGAATACTCTATACTCAACTTATCCAATGCCCTTTGACAGTGAATATCACAAGATGGATTCAACATGGCTATCTCTCAGAACATTGACAATGACACTAAAATATCATGGATTGGTAAAAATACCTAAAGGCCCCGTAAAATCCAATTGCCCACGCGTCGCTTTGAACACCAAGGCGCGGCGCGGCTGGGAACGTTTGGTCCTGAAGCGCTATAGGCTTTTTGCGAGCGACAATGAGCGCGCACCCTTTGCACACATATTTTTTCAAACTTGTGAAGGGAGCTTTCATCAAGAGCGCTACCTTGCATTGACGAGAACAACATGAAAGCTCAAGAAAGATTTCCTGGAATATAGTGAACGCCGACAGCCGTTCGCGACGACCGCTCGCTTACGCTGGTGTTCAAGGAACGGCGCGGGCAATTAGGTTTTACGGCGCTATACCTCGACGACATTAACGAGCATAGCTACCCACGATGGGTTACTGTGGTAAACCTCGTATCTTCTTGTGCGGTCGTCATCAGCCTTAAGTTCCAATGTTCCAAAATCCGCATTCATGTGCTTGTCGTACCAACGTCTTTCCAAGAAAAGCTTCAATCTTAGCTGGAGCATTGGCGAACTTGCGAAAATCGGCCATACTCTCGTCCTCTTCGAAGTCTATGGAGCATACTGGACGTCCCCGTTCTAATCCTGTTACGCATAATGCTGTTGCAAACAGAGTGGCAATCGAAAGAAACATGGGACTTATGATTTAGGTCTGAAAATCAAGGGTTGTCAGAAAACTCGAATAAGAGATGGAAATGCTAATTCTATTCGAATAAGCGTAATTTCTATAAACTAAAAGGCGAGCGGCAGTTTCAGCGATGAAGCCGAAAAAGAAAGAAGAGCAGCACGCAAGTGCTACAGAATCGGTGAGAAAGTATTGAGATCTGAAATTATATGCAATATCTTTGACCATTTGGCATTTTTACAGCGCTCGTTAGATGCAATGGCTTTCTATAACGTTTATGACATGGGAAAGCAACAACTGGTGTTGAGCTGATTTTTTTTCAGTGCACGGGGGTTCGTTTTGGAAGCGATTTTATTCTGAAAATGCCGTGTGCATAGCTAAAACTTCTTTTAAATAGTCAACTTTTGTACCAAATAATTGATATACATATCAAAGAATGACGTCTGATTATATCTCCTTTACATAACTATGGGTGCTAGATTGAACATGATAAGCCTTCAATTCCTTAAAAAAATAAACAAACCAATAAATCGATAAAAGTACCCAGCGAATTTTAGTAAAAGTATCCTAAAACCGTCTCCGGGATCAAGAACATCTGTATGCAAAGTTTTAGCCGAATCAGTTGAGCGGCGTGCGTTTCTATAACTCCCATACCCTCCAAACAGACAATTTTTGAGTTTTATATATATAGAGATCAGCCTTGGGCCACCAATGTAGTGATGCTGCTAGATACTTTGAGGTAGTGGATCAGCAGAATGGACCTCTTCAGATTTTGGTGGTGTAAGGTAGTAGATCCTCCCTCCCCCCCTCTCCCAAATACACCGTACCCCAATCCCACCCTCCATTTCATGCTCCAACTCTTGTAATAAAGATTCAAAACTCCACCAGCCCCTCCCACTTCCATTGAGTGGGCGTCATTGGTGGAGTTTTGAAGCGCTTTTTAAGCACTTAGCGCATGAACTGGGGGGTGGGGTGTTGGGGCTACGGTGTATTCGGGGGTCTACTACCGAACACTACCAAAACCTGACAGAGGCCCATTCTGCTGATCCACTGCCTTTAATGCTGGGAACAAGATTTGCTGTGAGAATCAGCTTCAATTATCCTATACTACAAAGGAGTGCCCTTCCGCGTACAGATCCAATTTTTGGTCATCTATTATAAATTGGCAACTGCGTTTTGAATGAATATTCTTATGCTTTTGCGAAGACTATTCGTCTATTCCGTGTCCAAAAACAGATATGTTTAGACTCTTTCATCATTTACTCTATCATACAAGATGAATCATGACAACATGCGTGAGCCATGCATCTATATTGTTTTTCATGACAAGGAATTAGCATAAAGATATCTATTAAACATCTTAAACGTTTTCCATAAGAAAACAAAAATCCTCGTTGTTATGCTTCCAAAAATACTTTGTCAATAGAAGTGCAAATGCTCGGATTGAGGCAGCTTGATTCGCTAATCAGTGCTCGCTGTAGGCTCTGTATCTAGATAGAATTTTCGCAATTTAGAAATCCCCACAAGTTTTCAAACTTAACTTTGCACGTAGCAGATAAATTTGTTGGCATTGTCGTCAAATCGAACTTTGCCGACGACGTGTTCAATCTTATATATAAAGCTGAATGTGTGTACAGGGCTTTTCAACCTGAGAGTCGCAAGTTTCGCTTGCGCGGCTCCTCCAACGCGGCCGCCTCGCTCAGGCCGCGCGCGGCGTTTGCTGCGTATCGCCCGGATTTCGCCAAGCTTCAGTCGACGCGCAGCCAGCGCCACGAACGCTGCGCGGACCTAAGCGTGGCGTCCTAGCGGGGCGGGTGGGACACTCAGGTTGTAAAGCCGTGTATGTATGTATGTACAGTCGAGTAGATTTAGCGGTAAATATAGTGTGCTTGCACAGAAGGTGAAATGCGGTGAAATTTGCGCGTGAACAAGTAGCCACGTCAATACGCGGGTATCTTGCGCGCGCAATTGGCCGGCGTCACAGTCGAAACTATTTCTTCACGCGCCAATTTTACCGCATTTCACCTTCTGTGCAAGCACACTATATTTACCGCTAAATCTACTCAACTGTATGTCTGTACGTATGTGCGGAATAGAAATTTTTATTGAACCGATTTGGACCAAACTTGGCACACATATATTTCGGGCAGGGAGCGTGTCATAGGCTACTTTTCGTTATCGATCGGTATCGATTTTACCGATTTTTTGCAAAATTTGAGCTACGGGGCTGGGAGTTGGCACAGGAGGGTAATCCAGCATGCTGTTTACAAATATGTTATTGACAGGACCGGGCGGAGCCGGGTTTGCCAACTAGTTGTCACTAAAATTTTAGATGTTGGGCTAATCATGTGCTCACTGTCCGAGCACGCATAGTCCTTTTGTCTTAACAAACAACTCCGAACAAACCACCAACATTTGCCTCACAGGGCTAGCATCAACCGAGAGCACGAAGAAAATTACCATTTTCTGTTCATCATCATAAGATCGAAATACAAAATCTCAAGATGGTCTTCTGCTTTTAACATGGAAAATGTTTCGTAGAAGCTGGTATCATTCCTTCTCTGATTAACAAGAGAAGCATGTTTAGTTGAAGTGGCTTTTCCAGATGGGATGTATACCATATCAGAGGGCTTGAAAAGCTGATTACAATTCTGCCTTCCTAATCTGCGCAACGTTTAGGACGAGGGTTATGAGCGTTTATTGGAGCACAAACTTGAAGGTACTAGTAGGGCGAAAGTAACCATGAAATTTCTTCTAGTCTTCCAATGGGGCAGTGACAATTATCACAGTACTATTCAGTAGATACTTCAAGATAATAAATATAATGCTTGATGCCTTATTTAAGGGCTAGTGAGATCTTAGCAACTTATTTTATATTGATTCAGTTTTTTACTCCAATAAATGCTCATAACTCCTCTTCCACGGATTTCCGCAGATAAGAAAGACGGATTCGGAATAAGCGTTTTATGCTCTTCAATATCGTATACATCCCATCTAAAAAGGCCACTTCGACTAAAATGCTTTTTTCACTTGCATTAATGTTATGTTGGTTAACAGTTGAGTGATTTCGCCTCTGCCTAAGCCGGAATCGAAGTCCAGTAATTTTCTTCACAAATGTCAATAGAAGAGCCAGCAACATTCATCGAGATAGAGTGACATCGAGGATTACGTTAGTTGATACTAACCCGGATGACCTCGAAAGCCGCAAGGAACACACGCTAAAATTCCCGTTCTTTTTCTAAGTGGTATTCTGCTTCAGATGATATACCTAGACGACTCCCAGGAGTATACGTTAAAAACTTTTTGTACTCTCTAGTGAAACCGTCACGCTTATATGTTGACAGGCGTTGGCGATGCTCCGCCCTCTATAATCTTGAGAGTCGATGATACCAGTGCACCCTTTCTTAGCGTTCATCTTTGAAGTTTTGTCGCAAATCCAAAATGCCTCTAGAGTTCTGCGCGCTAAGTCATCAGGTTCAAACGGTAAGATCTTGACTCCTTTGAAACGCTACGTTGTCGTGCGGTATCAAGCTTTGCGACCCCAGAAGGTTTTTGAATACTTAGTACATCTAGATGTTCTTTCACGAGGCAGCAAAAAGGGCGTCCGGTTCTACCATTGTGATCATTACATGTTAGACATGTAAAGATCATAAGGTACACCTGAAATTATATAGTCTCGCTCTTTGCTGATGGACAAACCAAGTAGTTTGGGGTTTAGGCACTTGCGATCGTATATTTGATTTCTTATCAAGTTTGCATGGGGTTGGTCTTTATATGGATAGCCTTGAAGTGCTTGCTAGATTGGCTCCTTCCAAGCAGTGACGTACTGCGTTAAAAATTCATCAGAAATGTATGGGAGACTGAACGCTACTTTATCGTCGTCTCTCGGGTCATGTTCTCAGACACTGGGACCGGCTGAGCCGCGGCCTCAAAAGGCCTTTCCGGCCCGTCCGCGGCCTTAATTTGGGGGCGTGGCCGAAGACCGGCCCAGCCGCGGACCTTAATTCACGTCGATATGATTGCACCGGCTGAGCCGCGGACCAAAATCTCTATAACGAAACACCGGCTGAGCCGCGGCCCATTTTCGGCTCGGCCGGTCCTAGTATCTGAGCGTAAAGAACACTTGCGTGATGTACGACGCATGGTCAGGCTGCCCTCAGTGTCCATAGCCTTCCATGTCTTTCCAGTCTCCAAGGCATGAACAAGATCAATGTGTTGTACAACACCTGGATAGCACTTTGTGTTGTCCAATCTTGAAGCCGGACATGGTTTCCGAAGCGGCCATGTCTGCGACCTCAATTTTTGTTTTTCACAGCGTGTATTTTACGCGCCAGTGAATAAAAAAACAGTCGTTTTGTATCCAAGCTGGAATGAACTATATGGCCCGACAACCACCTCCGGCTGAGCCGAGGCCGTTTTCCGGCTGAGCCGCGGACCTTCACCGGCTGGTCCGCGGACGCTGCGAAATTCCAGCCGGAAATGGGCCGCGGCTCGGCCGGTCTCAGTGTCTGAGTTGATGGTGATCAAATCCGTTAGCAGGTGAATTTCTCGCCTGAAGCCATTCAATTCCGCATTTTCTTCGCGATAGCGATAGAATGTGGGCGCTTCTCACGATTAGATGGTACAGGAGCAGTTGTTTCGTATTTCACTTATCGCGGTTGTTCGGACCACTTGAAAACGGTGTATTGTAGGCTTGCATTTGAGAGTCATTTTGGCGACAATTTAGGGGCCTGCAGGATCGCGAGAGTCGGACGTGCGTACGGCCACTGCGCCGCGCAAGTCCGATGTCACTAAGGTCATTGCCAGACTTATCAGCTTCAGCCGGTTCGTTCGGTTCATAGGTCACATCACTACACTGTCCAACAGCAAAGATGGTGAACCGAATGAAGCTGCTCAACAGGATAAGTCTGGCACCTCTGAGTCGTCAGACGCACATCTGACGTGCGCCGCGCAATGGTCGTACGCACGTCCGACTCTCGTGATCCTGCAGGCCCCTATATTTGATCAGTATTAGTTGAGCGAGGACTGGTGCT